ACAGTTGTACTCCTAGCTTTCAAGAGTTATCATGATGTTGCTTCGTGCAGCTTTTTTCTTCTTCGATCTTGCTACTGGCATTTGTGGGCGTTGCTGGCACTGGTGGTATCTGATCTCTCAGAAACCCTTTCCCACCACTTAAATGACTGCTTGATTTGTACACCTTGTTCCTCACCTTAAACCTTCCTTTTTCTTGAAATTGTCTCATGATGCTCACTTTGATGGGATGTGTGACAGAGGCACTGCAAGCAAAGACCATACTGCAGGATCTTCAGGGACTGAGAAGAATCAGTGCAGTAGTTGTACAATTTTCTTCCTGCTCGTGTTTGAAGATAAGCTTGGGATTGCATGAATCTGTTAAATTGCCTTCCTGAAAGTTTACCAGCTCTTCAAGGGAGTTCAATTGAATTAGCCATTTAAATTATTTTGGCATTTTGGTGCATGGGAAGTCAAGTCATACATTCTGGACAAGATTTTCTCAAAAGCATTGAACTGTATTGCCTGCAAGGATTCACACGGGAAACTCAGCACCCTGGAAAGAGCGCGTGAAGCTTGTCTGATGAAATTGGCATAGAAAGCCAGACTGAGCAAGAGTCTTAAAGAGAAAACCTTTGAGAGACAGTCGAAGAAGATACCCCTTCCAATAAATTTGCAAAAGCTGTGGCAAAATACTTCAAAATAGTACTGCTTTAACACCATCACAGTCTGTTCTTTGAAAGTCAATGCAGACCTACTTAATGTGAAATATGGAGCAGATTTTGGGGGAACTTTTGCAACTTAGGCAGCAAAAAAAATAAATAAATAAAATGTGAATGTTTTATCACTCTTTCTGTCGTGATGTTCTGAAAATACAATAACTTTGAAACCGCTCAAAGTGTTCAGTGTGAATTGCTGGAATGAGTCAGCTAAACAGAGATAGCCACGAAGGAAGTGAGACCGCAGCACCTATATGGCTGGTGGCTTGAGAGTTAGCTTAGCAATGAAGCTGGCATCCATAACCATGTCTTTATGTAATGTGTTTAAAGAATTGAAGAGCAAACTGTTTTTTCCTGCATAGTGTGAAGAACTTCTAAGAAGCTTTCTCTTGGTTGGAAGTATAGCCACACATGAAAGGAGAGCAGATTGCATCACAAGAAATTTTGAGGTTCGGCAGCCATAATGCAAATATTCTGGTTTTCTCAGTTGCTATGAGAAGACTCTTTTGGGATGGATTGTGGAAAGGACAGTACAGTCCACAGAAATGGTGCACCCTGTTACACCTTTATTATAGGTCACGTGCTAACGCTCCTAGACTGAATGCTAACATCCCTGGGACTCCATAAGGATTCTTGGCAGGACTCTGAGGAATACCAGCTTTCCTATAATGTTCAAAATAAACCTATTTGATACGGTGAATACTAATCTCTGATGAAGATTTAGGATCACAGAGCAAAGATACCAGTGAAGATTGGGAGAATATTCAAAGCTGCTTAGCAGGATCTATTCATGTCTTTCTCCTTAGACCTTATATATATTTCCTGCTG